TCTTTGTTTCAGCTGAAACAAAGAATACACGGCGCCAGATCCCAGAAGATGACTTTCTTCAATTTTTTGTTGTTTACTTAACAATGCTGTTCATAGTAGTTCAGATTTTAATTGTAGGATTATGAGCGAATGATGAAATAAAGTCATGACCTGATCAAGGCACTGTCTTGGCATTTGCCTGGAAGAATGGAGGCAAATCACAAGAGATGTCACTTAGTTAGTTGATGACCTGGCTGAGATTTGAACAATTCCAGAGCTTTATATCCAGTCTGCCTATTGGTGAAGTGGTCATCATCTTAAGTTTATTCTCTTCCTTTGTCTTCAGGAACTGATAGACATCTTCAGATGGCCAGTCTCAGGGCCAAGTTTTGAACCTCCCAAATACAGAAGACTGGTGGTCACTAACCTGCAGTGACTGATCTTTGTTACTTATATTTTCATTTTTTATAGCTTATTTAAATATCTTACTATGTTGTTTAAGCATGTGCAGTTGAAAACGTTGAAACCTCAACAGAATCTGGAATGCACTCTACTTTCTCATTCATAAGATGTCACGTAAAAATGTCATGGGGATGGTAGATGGGATGTCTTGTTGGAAATAATTGAAGTGTTAAAAGGATGTGACACCATGTAGTATGGAGTATCACTACCAGTGTTGTGGGGTAACGTGCTATCTCCTTTGAAAGTTGGGTGCTCAGAGTCACTGGTAACGATTTACATGATCTATCTTGATGGAGGACTGCTTGAGAGTATCAGTTGCTGACAATTTTCTCTGCGTTCCTTGACCCTTAAAATAGCCTTCAGCACACCTTTCCCCACTCAGTCCCCCTCTGTCCCTGCTTTTTGGAACAGAATTTTGTACATGTACATACACACACATGCACAACAACTCAGCAGCCTACATACTTCAGTCCTGAAGATGGAGGTAGCATGTACCTCTGAAATGTCAGCAACATAGCTAACAGCTATACAGTGTAACAACATCAGAACAGAATTAACATCAAGAACTTGACACTTCAAAAAACCAAAACCTGTGATTGGACTAGGGTGCAGTACCTGTGCACAGCTCCTTATTGGCCATGTTTATGTTTACAGGAACACAAAGAAAAAGTACCAAGTCATGAGGTTCACTTCATCGGTAAATGTAGACTTTGGCAAATGGACGCAGGTGAAGATGGAACGTGAGAATAATATGAAGGAATTCCGCGGCACTGAGGAAGAGATGCCAAAGTCAGTACTGACAACACGATCATGTATCTGCCCCCCTCGACTGCTAAGTATTTCTTAGCTCATTGATTCAGTAGAACTCAAACATACAAATACTTCCAGGTTTTTGTCATAATATGGCAGAGTGTGTACAGCTTATTGCTGACCTTGTAGATTTAATGAGGAAAATACCATTTGAACTGCAGGGATTGTAGTTGCAGTATGCAGTAAGTCTGTATATATACCTGGAGCTTTCTTCCCATATCTTTAAATTATTTTGTTCTTATTCATAAATTCTGTGATACTTGATAATTTCTTGGTTTACTAAGGTACAAGGCCATGCTGTAACGCAGCAGTTAGTTGCTCACTTCTCATCATGGGGCCTGGGCTCAGTTCCAGACATAGTTCATGTGAGATCTGTGGTTGCCAGGTTTTTCTCTGAATATTATAGTTTTCTCATGCCAGTTATTCAACTGATGATTCATACTGATCTCTCATCAAGGGCTGGTAGAGCATTCTCATATGAGGCCATGATGCTGAAGGGCTACACCTATCCATTGTAGGAGAAGAATTGTGTATATGTATATGTGGTCGCAATATTGTAAGGTTGCCTTCGGATATTTTATATGTAAATGTTGTTTGATGTCAATGAGATATGCCTACTTTATTCATATGTTATCTTGAAGAAAGAAGTTAGCTTACAACTGGAAACATTTGTTGCTGTGGAAGTTCATGCCCAATATGATATTAGTGGAGCAAGGTGCTACACAGGTTTCTGTAAGTGAAGCAGCCAGACACTGTAATGTCAGTGCTGTGAGGCACAAATATTTATGTCAACTTTTGTTTGGTTGTGAGTTACTGTGTGCCCTTGATTATTAACCCTTTGGCTGCCAGGCCCCATTGTAGAGGTGGCTGCTAGAAACACAGACATACTTGGGGCATAAATGCAGTTGCACAAAAAGAATCACAGTACTTCCTCAAATGACCTTTAAATGACAGCAGGCATAGAGCCTGTGAAAGTTTGTTCCTTTGTCTAGACATCGGTATGCGACTCTTGATGCTAGTTACATACAGAAATGTTGCTGTCTGTAAGTCTCATTGGCTGTGGTGATTCTAATGCAGATACACTTGGAACCCACCCAACATGCTCTCCAATGAGTACTGGGGGCTCTTTCCATGGAGGTAAAGCATCAGGGTGTATGAAACTGACCTGTCACCTCCACCTTCTTCTGAGTTTAAGATTGATGGAACTATACCCCCATTTCCCCATACATTGTGATGACAGGTTTGACTTTACCATTTTACCCAAAGCCAGTCTAATTGGTTCATGACATATGAAAGGTTAAGTGTGCTACCATTCTTTGGCACAAATATCTTAAGTCCAGGAATAAGTATTGTGTCAGTCTCACCCCTCTCCTAAGATAAAAATGAATGGACCAAGTGTTGCTAAAATTACCTTTAGTCTGTGTTTGGTGTAGGTTTGGTGCTGGCAGCGAGTTTGGCCGAGATGCTCGTGAGGAGGCCCGCAGAAAGAAATATGGCATTGTGAGCCGCAAATATCGTCCAGAAGATCAGCCATGGATCCTGAAAATTGGAGGAAAGACTGGCAAAAAGTGAGCCTCTATTCTCGGGTTCTAAGGCATGTTACTTGCATAACTGTCATTTCTCAGAGAATAGTTAATTTGGAGATCCATGTACATACAGAAAGTGGGTTATATCTTTGATGTGATGTTTCTCAAATGCACTCATTTTGTATTCTTTGCTTGGAATGAGAGACCAAGTTTCGTACTTGTATGGACTGGTAATAATAATACATTTGTGTATTTTAACCTTTAGATTGTTAGGAGGCTGGAAAAAAGTTCATTATGATGAAATTAATAATTTTTACTCTTCACCAGATTTTGTTAGGATGATTCAAGGAGGATGAGATGGGCAGGACCTGTAACATACGAGTACATGGAACAGTTGACAAATGTGTACAGAATTTTGGCCAGAAAATCTGTTAGGATGAGACCTGTTGAAAGACCTAATTGTAGATGAGAGGATAATATTAAATTGGCCTTAAAGAGGTAGTGTAAGGGTGTGGACTGGATAAATTTGTGTCGCTGTCAGGTTCTCAGAACACGGTAATGAGCTTCTATAAAATGTTAAGAATTTCTTGACTAGCTGAGAGCGATTATTAGCATCTCGAGAAGGGCCCCGGTCTGAGGTGTTAGGTTATTAGAGTCTGGTAAGATAAAATATTCCGAAGTGAATGGTCGGATGTTTTCTTATTGCTGTGTCTTACTTTTCTCTTTTATTTTGCTTAAAACTTTCATAATGGTCTGTGCAGGTTCCGTGGCAACAGGGAGGGTGGGGTGGCTGAGAATGCATCATACTATGTTTTCACACATGCGCCAGATGGTGCTATTGAAGCATTTCCACTCCAGGAGTGGTATAACTTCCAGCCTATCCAACGTTACAAGTCACTTACTGCTGAGGAAGCAGAGGAGCAGTTTGGCAGGTCTGTACTACTACTATTTCCAACATCATTTCACACGAGTTGATCAGAGAAAGCCCAGAATCTCTTATATCTCGCCAACAGATCCTTTACTCTTCCAGCGCCTGGCTTAATCGTCTTGTTCTGGATCATCCTGTAGGTGTCTTGTCTGTACATTTTTATTGTAATATCCTCAGTATCCTTGTTCTGTTCATGTGTCTTGTATAGCAAAACCATTTCTCTTACAACTCCAATAGAATTTGGGTTCCAGTTTCTTCTCTACAAATTTCGTTTCTGATTCTGTTCCGTTATGCCTTCAGCTTTTTTATTTTGCTTTGTTTCTGTCTCTAATGATCCATGTTTCAGTGGTATATGTTGGTAATGGTTTAAATGTACCCTATGAATTTTTATGTTAATGGTTTTTTGGGCCACTCATATTTTTCTCTCTTATTACTGTGTTAACACATTCAGTTCCTCTTTGTGTCAGTTTCGTTTTGATGCTTGTACTCTTGAAGGAGTAAGCTCTGTAGTGACATCTTTTCATTTGCATTGGTTGATACTCAGTCGACATGAAAGATGTTAAAATTCTTGAGAATTTATTTCTTTGGAAGTCAACATGAAATTTAAGGTGATCCCCAGAGAAGGTATTCATGTAGAACTCACTTGTATTTATAGAATGAAAATATGGAATAAAAACTTGAATTCATGCCAATTCTTATGTTGTATGTTCTACAGTAAACGCTTCTGTCAGTAACATAATCTAACAGGCACTGTACGTTAGTAATTATACTAGATAGTGATTCATTTCTACTGGTACAGATTCTATGTTGAATAATTAGATATAACCTGAAAGGGTCGCACTATTGCTATATTTGTAATTATCAACATCTTAAAAAGTAAGAAGATTGGTGTCTTCTGGGATGTGATGTTGCATACCCTGGTAGACCATTCCCACAGTTTTTGACAAATGTGCTGTCTCCATCTTCAGGGTGGAACCTGTTGGTTCATGCAGGGCTCTAGTTGCAGTTGATCTCCCTATATTCATACTAGTTCTTATCGTGCTTAACACTTTTACCCTGAAGATGGAAACAGCAGATACCTCTGAAACATTTGTAATAATCGGTTAGACTACAGGGTGTCATATCCTGAGTGCAGTAATCTTCAGATACTGTGTCTAAAACATTTTAGGGTGCATCATCACCAGACAGAGCTGGGATAGTGCAGTTGCCATGGTGACTGGCTACAGGCTAAGTCCCAGTAGGGTCAAGAATTTTCTCTTTTCCACGTTGTCCAAACCAGATCTGCGTCCCACCCAGCCTCTTATTTAATACATGCCAAGGGGTAAAGCTGTCGGGCCGTGAAGCTGGCCACTCATCTGCAACTAATACTGAGGTCAAGAACACGTGGATCTATACATTCACTCCCTCCTGCTTCTTCATGGCATAGTGCTTGATTAGTTAAGCACAGGGACAACTTTGGGGGTACATGGTAGCATAGTTGATTGAGGCACTATGCTACAAGACAAAAGATTGTGGGTTTGATTCCTGGTGAGGTCATTGGTTTTTTCAGTCGACCTAATCCTTCCAGCTGCACTGTGGCTCTGGGGTCAACTCAGCCTCTAACAGAAATAAGTAACAGAACTCTTCCTGGGGGGGGGGTAAAGGGCTGCTGGTGCATAAGGCTGACAACCTTACCTCCATTTGTGAGCCTGTTTAGAGAAAATGTGGGAGTGTGAGGCTCTCTCACAACCCTGTGGGCCTTCATATCCTGTTACAGGGATCACTTTACTTTAGGGACAGCTTCACTTTTTTTCATCACCAAGCAGATTGTTATTTTAGAATGTTGCTAGATTTTATTTGTAATATGTGATATGAACCAAAATTGCTACCAGGAGATCTTTTTGAACACTCCATAAGGGTTGCCTACTGCAAGTGTATTGTACCATCACACATGTTTAGTCAGTATTTAATCAACCACTGTGAGCACCTCAAATGGCATCTGAAGACTTCTCTTCAACACCTTGCTCTCAACACCCCCAGAGCTTGCTGCAGACAAAGAGTAATTGTTGTGAGTTTTGTTATCAAGGTGTATGTTTCAGGCGCAACAAACTGGTCAACTACTTTTCCCTCATGTTGCGACAACGGTTGCGACCTGGTGATGAGGATGGTGATCCTGAGGATCCAGAGGAGGGCAAAACCAAAAAATCATCTGCTGGAAGCAAGAAAGGTGTGTATCTCGCGGCGAAAATCTTTTGTGGTGCTTGGCACTGATGTAAGATCTGAAATGAAAATGAGGACACAAGTCGTTGGCAGGTTTACCCACTGACAGAATTAATGGTATCAATGATCAGTGTATGCTGAACTCTATCAGTGCACTGTGTTACCATAGTTGAGCAGCATCGTTATGATTTTATTTTAGGGAGAGATATGAAGTAAATTGCTTTTACTGTGTGGCTTCCTATCTGAGTGCCCAGAATCCTATATTGGCATATATTCTTAACTTTGTAAAATGCAGTTTTGTCACTCCTGATGCTTCCTAGGATTGCAACTCCTCCGTTTGGCTGATATGCACCGGAGGGTTGAGCATAAGTTCAGATTTTAGTTACTGCTTCCTTCACTGCATCTTGCAAAATGTATTCTTGCACATTACGTTAATCCATTCCCAGTGCTTAGTTGAACACCAAGGGAGAGTGGAGATGTAGCTCTTCATATTGACCTGAGCACTGGATTAGTGATAGAGAGAAATATCTTGCTTCGGCCAGGATTTGCGCCTTCATTCCCCAGCTGTCTAGAGCTCAGTCTGGTTGCTGTACTGACTGACTGACTGAGCATGCTTGTGTATGTCATGTTACATGCCATGATCATGTTTACACAAAATGCTAAGAATGTTTTGAGCGTTTCCCTCTGCCATTTGTGACTAGGACTATGATATTCTGCAGTTTAATTTACAGGTAGGGAGGGTAGTTTTTGTTGAATCAGAAGCAAAGAATACAGGGTAATGATTGCAGTCACATTTCCTGAAGTGGGGGAAGAGGCAGTGAGTGTATTGTCACTGTAAGTTGCTGAGGGTACAGTTTTGGTTTGTAGAACTGAAGATATCTGACATGGATGAGTGGATACAGTCTGACGATGACTCTGATGATTCAGACTCAGTAGATGAGAAGAATGACAGAGAAGAGAAAGAGGACAAGGATAAGAAGAAGAAGACCAAGAAAGGTGTGTAGTTATCCTCCTTTTTTGTTCTCATCATAAATGTCTGTATAGCTGTGGCTTCTGTGGTCTCTGATGGCTTGTCACAAAGTGGAGAAGTTAAGCTGCTGAGGTAGCGTATCTGAGAGAGTCAGGTTTTATTTATTCTTATTCTTTGTTTTGTTACTGACGCTTGATGATTGAGGTTGTCTGTCCAAAACATCTTGGATGGTGTGTTGTAACTCAAGTGGGGTGCCTTACAGGAGAGGAGTTCTTCATATTCAACAAGACTGCCAGTGTGACAGTTGTGGTTCATATTGTAAGTTGAAAATAGAATCTAATAACCTTTTCAATGGTGACATAATGATTTCCATCAATGTCTGATAAAGAAGTCCCCTCGCCGATGTTTTAGACAGAGTTTAGTGTTGACTGTACAATTATTAGTGAGTTATGAATTGGAAAGGACATAAGCGGTAGTGGTCATGATTCAGTTTCATCTACTGTTCTGATTTTCATCTAGAAGAAAACCATGAAAAATGTTAGTCAGGAAAGCCAATCTTTTTACCAAGCTTGCTTCTCAAGTGTAATGTGCCTGTAAATTTCTAAATATTTTATAAGAGTGAAACACATGGGAGTTGTAGAAAAAAATTGAAACATTTTATCTGAAATGCACTTCTTCCATAAGTCCTCGTGATTATGAGGTAATTGGAAAGGAGTAATTGTGCTGCATGCAGATATCCTCATTTATTCAGTGCTATGTTGGAACATAGCATTCCTGAAAACTTTCTGACTTTTTTGTGCACTGATTTCAAGCTCATGAATTTACACTTAAGTGGTATGAAATCTATGGAGGCACTATGCTACAAGCTGGAAGGTCGTGGGTTTGAGTCCTGATGAGGTGGATTTTTTTCATTTGTCCTAATCCTTCGAGCTGCACTATGGCCCTGGGGTTGACTCAGCCTCTAACAGAATGAGTACCAGGAATATTCCTCGGGGGGTAAAGGGCGGCCAGTGTGTAAGGCTGACAGCCTCACTGCCATCTGTGAGCCGATTGTCTACAAAATGTGGGAACCTCAACATCTGTCAACCCTATGGGCCTCCATGGCCTGTTACAGGGATACCTTTACTTTTTTTTTTACCTCTTATGAAATCTGTATGAACAAATACATGAGGATGTGTCTTGTGTACAGTTTATTTTTTAGCATCCCCATGTTATTTCTTTCTCAGGGGAGGAAACGAAGAAGAAAAAGAAGAAGAGGGACTCTGATGATGAAGCATTTGAAGAGAGTGACGATGGCGATGAGGAGGGACGGGAACTTGATTATATCTCCGATTCATCAGATAGGTTTGTCTTGTTTAAGCACATTTCTAATGTTGTCAGTAGTAGCAACTGCACCGAGGCAAATTTTTACTGCTTCCATACAAGCACAAGATGTGGTGGCTAAACTCATTATTCCAAAGTTTACTGTCAGCTGTTTACTTGCATAGTGCTATGCACTGAAAACCCTATTTAAGATTTTGTGGGGGTGGGTATACTGGACTTGAATACTAAACTGAAGAAAGTCTTGAATGGAAGAAATTAAACAAACAAAACAAAAAACAAACTCCGTGGCTCGAGTCTTCAAGTGAACTATACTGACCGAGTGACCGCTGCTTGTTGGTGAAGTTATTGCCAACTTTAGCTGATAGAGGGTGTTGCATGGTCAGCACAACGAATCCCCATGCCCGTTAATTTCATAACACTGACATTATTGACTTGCAGTGTTAGCAATGAAATCACAGACTGAAAATTCCCTGTTCCTGGACAGTAATGTCTCCTGATGATAGTTCTGTATCATCTGTTCACCAGTTACATTTCAGTGTAGGATGTTCCTTTTTCTGCTTTTCTCTGTGGTCTGGTGGTCAGAGTTCCTACCTACAGATCCAGCGTTCAGGTTCGATTCCTGGGGCTACCAGATTTTCTGAGAAATAGTGGGTCTGGAACAGGGTCCACTCGACCTCATGAGGATAATTGGTCACTTGGTCAGTATAGTTCGCTTGCAGACTTGAAGCATGGAGTTTGTTTGTTTTTATGAATAAATTGGTACCTAGATTGACAGTCTTCTTACATATTTTAGAACATTCATGTCATAAAATTGAATATTGCCACATGGAATATTTGCTTAAGGACTACTGTATGTACAGCAACATATGAAGTGTTTTCTGTAACACCCTGTTTAGCTTTTGAATCATTTATTATTGATTTCCTTATGCATGTGGTTGAAGTTGCTCTTGTGTTACAGTGTTTCAGAACCTGAGCAACTTGCCAACAAGGAGCTGAAAGGGGTTGCTGAAGAGGATGCACTCAGAAAATTGTTGTCTTCTGGTGAGGAGGATGAAGAGGAGGAAGAGGTATGACAGATATTATAATTTTTCAGGAAACATCGAGTGAGTTGGTCTAGTGGTATCACACTAGGCCTGTATTCAGGCATTTCTCAAGACATCAGTTGTCATGACTGAGATTTTAGGTGATTTTCCTCAGTCTTTCAAGGCAAATGCCAGGATGGTACCTTGATTAAGTCATGACTGTTTATTTCCAAATCCTTACTAATTTGTTATTAATCAGTCATACCAGTGTCTGATGCTCTGCAGCCTAGATGCTGACAGGATTGTGAACTAATCCATAGTTGACTCTCACAGGAACATATCCTTAATTTAAACTTTGCTTGAAGTCCCCATCTTCATCCAGCAGATGAATTAGAGCCTTTTCAGGCGTAACATAAAGGCAGTTGGAGAGCCTTAAACCTGATACTCCTGATAGTGGTCTTGAATTACCTGTAAGATTTGAGGTTTTCAGGGTGGTGACTATGAAGAACACAGTCTTCTAGGATGTGGTAAATCTTGTATGAACCGACATTTCATTGGAATGTACCACCTTCATCTTCAGGGTACAAAAATCCGTGAGCCTGGAACCAGCATCAGCAGGTGGCTGCAGTCTGAAGATGGAGGCGATACGTTCTTCCGAAACATCAGTTCACACAAGATGTACATGGCGCCATGTCATTCTTCCTTGAATTACCTGAATTTCATCCCTCCTGGTGTGTACCTGGAGGGACTGAGGAATGCCATGAAAAGTCTTGTCATGTTATCCCATATCTTGTCTGAAATTTTAACTCAGAACCTCTGAGCTGCAAAGTGATGCACACTCACATGCTGTAAAATAAATTAGTGTTGCTTTCACATCTTCATTAGGTCATCTCTTACAGTGTCCCTTTCAACTTTGTAACTTACATAGTTGAGGGGAAATGGTTAAATAAATTAAGGAAATCTTTGAATTTGTCAAATATATCTTTCAAATTTAGAGACACATATTATTGCTGTACTTGTGATCTTTGGGCTTAATTGATACAGTATTATTAAAAAACCAAATAAAATATTCACTAACTTTCTTGTTAAGAACCCAAAGGTTTGACGCCGCTAATACCGAAGTCCGCCCCTGGTTGCAGTCTTCAGCCATTTCCATCAATCTCTCATTGTCAGAAGCTTCCCAATCTAAGTTGTATCATTTTAAGTCCTTGGACTTGTGTATGGATTTTGTGCCTGCCTGTGCAAACTACATGTCCAGACAATTATGACCTTGCCTTCCCTATCTTGAAGCGTTCAAAATGAATTTGTCTGTGCAGGAGAAGAAGGATGATGACAAGGACAGTGAAGGAGAGCAGAAGAACGGTAAGGTTGATACTGAGCGGGCCAGTGGTGGACAGAACAACAAGGAGAAGGACAGCACAAAGAAGGGGCTGGGGGCCAGTGCGGGTGCAGCATCTGCAGCAGGGGGCTCAAGCAAGAAGAAGAAGAAGAAGAATAAGAAAAAGAAGAAGAGGGACCATCCATCTGGGGCAGGGAGCTGTGGGAGTGCCAAGAAGGCTGGCAAGAAAGACGATTCTCGTGGTAAGTTGCAGCTACAGTTTCGCTTTGCTTCTTCCATATTGACACTGAGTAGCATCACATTGTAGGATGGCAAATGAATGATGAATTGGAAGGAATTTGTAAGGAAGTGATTACAGCCTGATCAAGGTACATTATCCTAGCACTTAAGAAAACACTGAAAGTCTGTCAGAATAGCCAGTGTCATGGCCGAGATATGAATCGAGCACGTCTTGAGTGCAAGTTTTGAACATTACCACTACACCAGACTGTATGCAACCTTAATCTTGTGATGCATGTCCTTGTAGACCACCTTTATGGTCTAGTGGTCATAGTTCCTGGCTACAGATAGTTCGATACCCAGCGCTACCAGATTTCCTGAGAAGTAGTGGGTCTGGAACAGGGTCCACTCAGCCTCATGAGGATAATTGAGGAGCTATTTCTAGAAAATAGTGGCTCCAGTCTAGAAAACCGAAATTAATGAGCTTTGGAATTCATTTTGCTGATGACGCAATAGCATCTATTTGCTAACGTTGGCACTAACCTCGCCAACAAGTGGCGGTCGCTCTATGAGTATAGTTTGCTTGCAGACTATAGGCCACGGAGTTTTTTTAATGCATTTCCGTGTACATTAAAATATGGCTGGGTAGATCATTCTGATTGATGAGAGTACTCATTATGCATTTTACAGCAGCCTCTTTAGTGGTTAATATATTGTGTTCTGGGACGTGACACCATGTACTCTGGTAAAAGGTCACCAGTGTTTGAGAGGAATCTGCTGTCTCCATTGACTTCCGCCATTTTCATATGCATCTGTGTACTTACGCTCTGCATGTCTATCTCTTCTACACCAAAGATGGAGGCAATATATTCTTTCTGAGTGTTCATAACTTTCTTCCAGACTGTACACAATGTCACATTCCAGAAGGCAGTAATCTTCACTCTCCGTACCAGGACACTGGCCGTCCTGACTGGGGTCTTGTCATGGTTTTCCTCATTCCCACCAGGCAACTGCTGGGGTAGTATCTCAGTTAGGTCACTTCTGCTTCCATATCCTTTGCAGTTCATCATATTACCATTCAGTATTGTTACATATTCTGCAGTACTGGAAACAGCAGAAAGTAACCGACAAAGTGAATTCGCATTCATACTGAAATTCTCTTAAGAATGAGAGAGAGTGACTTTCATGTGTAGAACGTCACAGATCTGAAGGTTACGAATGCTTTGTTCATGATCTGTTAAGACCATTGGTGCTCAGTTCTGATATTTCTTGTTTCAGACTCATCCAGTGATTTTAGCTCAGACAGCACAGATTCTGATGACGACAGCAAGAAGAAGCAACTAAAGGATACAAAGATCATAAGGGAACCGAGCAGGTGAGTCTGTTATATGTTTATGATATTTTCCTGTGGGCTAAGTGCGGGGGGGAAGGTGAGTCAAATCCCAATGTATGCATGTGTATCACTGCCAGATGTTTCCACACCTCCCCTCTCCCTGACCGTTCTAGTCATGTGAAGCACCTAGTCCACTCACAAAGGCGTGGCACCATTCTTGAAATATTATGTGCATAAAACTGTGGTTACTCGCATGAAGGGAGTGAGTTGAGTCTGCACTTAGAAGCTTTGTCCAGTGTTTGTGTATTGTCGAACAGTATGGTGAAAAGCAAGCAGTGAGCCCTGTACTGTCAGAAACAAGTCAGTGACTGCAAGAAGAGGTTATATCGGTGTTCAGCAAATGGGTGAAGGTAAAGGTAAAGCTATCAGTGTAACAGGCCATGGAGGCCCATAGGGTTAAGATACATTGAGGCTTCCATGTTTTCTAGACGGTCAGCCTACACAGATGGTGGGGATGTTGTCAGCCTTATGCATTGGGTGCCCTTTACCCCCAGGAAGATTCCTGGTAGTGTGGCTGGAAGGGTTAGGTCAAGTGAAAAATCCAGTGACCGCATCAGGAATCAAATTCGCATCCTTCTGGTTAGTAGCATGGTGTCTCTGTACACTACCTGCCCATTTCATATACCTAGCATTGAAGGTTCCTTAGCTAGGGGCACGGGACTGAAATGTAATTGTAGATTTCACATGACTACCATGTTGCATTGTTACTTCCTACTGTAAAAGTATTAGTGTAACAAATGTATGTTTCTCAAACTTCCTTCATGAAAATCTGTCACTTTGCTTGACATATTTTGATGTGTTTTGGTGCCTACTGATGTAGTTTGGATCGGTAGTTTGATTTATTAACCACGTATAAGTTGTAAATACAAACAGTTATTACACTCTTGCTGACACAATTAACAGTCACTCCACACTAATCTTCTGAATCTATTTTTTTTAGTCCTCGCTATCTGTTTCCTGGCAATGGATTTATAAAATAGGAACTGTAAAAGTCTCACTGAATTACAGACTCGTAACATCGATGTACTACAGCACATGTAATGTCACACACTAAGTCTTCTAATTCTTCTGGCCACACTGCTTTTCCCTCTGAACTTCGGAACTCAAGTCGTATCAATTCTCCTTCCTGTATTCTCTTATATACTCTCGGCATGGACCACACAGAAAACACGTGTCACATGTCAAGACTGTGAATTCATTGGTCCATTAGGAGTGCTGGACGTGGCACAGATGACATAGAAAACATGGCCTCATCTATTGTTGCATGATGGACTGTGTTGACAGACCTGTTGCATGGCAATGCATTGATCAAATACATTAATATTGCTCCATCCATAAGGCTCCTCGCCCTGAATAGCATATTGGTGCACTGCCTGTTCTTCCTTTCTGAGGTCTCTGCCTGGTTTCATCTCACCTTCCTTCCCGCTGCTTGTTTTTTTTTTACATGCTGATTATTCTCAAACTGCAACCACCACTCCCACCTTAAGGTTGGTCATCCCGAGTGGTTCGCTTATAAAGTTCTGGTTAGACCAGGTTCTTACCATTGTTCAAGGGGGTTTCTTCTTTCTTGCTCTTTCCCATGGTGGGCCATAACTCCTGGAGTTATGTGGCTCATATGTGAAATGTTGGTGGCAAATTCCCTATAGTTAGGGCTTACGAAGGCACTTCATAGTACAGTGGAATCCCCTCTTCATGTCCCTCTGTTTGAGATTTCTCCATATTGAATGTTGAATTTCAGTGATCCCAGGTTGATACGCTCAATGTTAATGTTCCTCCATTTTAAGATTTTCCTAATTTTAGTGTTCAGTTACTCTGCCTCCCAAAAGGAAAGGACAACTGTATTTATTCTTTAAAAATTACATTTTAATATGCCTAACATTTGATTGTTTTGTGGGTTGAGTGTTAAGATTACAGTATTTTGGCATGTAATCCCATGTAGTTTGATAGATTGGCACTGACATTTTGGATGGAAACATTCATACCTTTCTACTGAACTGTGCAACATTAGATCTTGGAAGACCATAATTTTAGTATTGAATGTTGATGGATTCATTTTATATGATGGTAACAGTGGAGCGAGCTCTCGGTCAGGAACCCCAACGAAAGACGGTCTTGAAGGTGGAAAACGGAAACTAAGTGCAACACCAGAGCCCGGAGTATCGCACGCTGCTGCTCACAGTAAGAGGGCTCGGTTAGACAACTTCTCATCTGCGGCTCTGTCTCCATATTACAATGCTGGAAATCCAGGAAGCAGGTATGAGTTCTGTTGTGTCCTTGTGCCTGTACTCGTCATCTGTATTCATGTCAAGAAATTGACACTACTTCAGAATTTTGTTTGAATTACAGCTCATATTAGGCCAAATTGTGCCAATCCTAGAACCAACATTTTCTTACATAAGTTGTCCATATGTGTAATGTCATGAAGATACAGCTCCTTGCGATCTTAACCTTGGCACTAGATCAGGGGTCGGGGAACTTTTTTACTTATTACCCCAAAATATATTTATTTACGCCGACGTTACCCCCTTGATTTGAAAGAGAGAAAATCATAGATTATTCAAATTCAAATGGTTTATTGAATCTATTTATATGGAGAATACAATTATAAATACAAAAAGTATAAAATAAATGCGATAAAATACGAGTAAATTAATATCCTCATTATGAAACAAAAGGATTTCTTAGAAAATTTTTTTCACTTCAGGTTTTGGAGAAATTATGTTGTTTCAATTTTGATACAGTAACATCAAAATTGGGACATTTTGATGTCAGAGCAATTTGCATACTGTCTTCGGGGTCCAATCGATTTCTCTGCTTTGTTTTTATGTTCAGTAGAGTGGAAAATCCTTGTTCGCAAAGGTAGGTTGTTGCAAAGGGCAGCAACTTTTTGACTGCGTCCTCATGTGCAATTTTGAAAGCATTTGCAGCTCTTGACATCCAAAAATATGACAGATCTGCTTGTTTTCAAATTCAATACGTGCTTCATTATTGGATCGAAGTTCAAGAAGTGCCTCTGCCAAAA